CCCCAAAACCCCAAAACCCCAAAACCCCAAAACCCCAAAACCCCAAATTTGTTTCACAAATTGTGAAATATTTATTGCAAAAATTGTAGCCGATGGGCCCACTAGAGCCTATTGATTTTGTCTTGACCAATCTTTAGTCTGTAAGGGCTGCCAATAGCCAATATAGTCTTAATGTTTGGGCTAGAAGTCCCATAGATCATCTTAGAGCTACTATTCTTCTTAGTAGTCAAACTTTTGTCTAGAATGTTAGGGATGAACCTACCAGAGCTTTTCTTGATTGGATCTCCAGGATCATTAATCTTCCTACAGAGTGAGAGAGCTTTACTACCTTGTACGAGAAATAGCAGTTTTGTTTTTCATCAATGACCTCTTTTTCTTAGCTCTAGCAATATGTTTGTTAAGACTTTCGATCACCTTTCTTTGGTCATTCTCATAATCTTCGGTATAAGATCGCTTCTCTAAAGAAGAAATAGGAGCTAAATCATACTTTTACGTAGCGAGGTCTGGCTCTGGGTCTTCTCGAGGCCTCGCTGGTTCCGGATATATTGCAAGCCCTTGATTTGTTTAACTAAATTACTCTCTTTTCGCTTAGCAATGTTCCTTGCATGCACTGTATAATTAGCCATATTGCTTGACCCGAGAATGATTTTCTTCTTTTTGGCCATCAAGCCACTCATCGTAGCGTTTTGAGGGGCATTAGAAATATAGCGACTCTTGATCCTCTTGGTATCAGTAGCAGTCTGAATGGTCTTTCGACCAGTAGTTTTAAGGACTTTCTTAAATAATCTTCTTCGAGGCTTGCTTCTTTCATCTAAAGTAAGGTTATTGGCATTCATAACTCAATACTTACTTTGTTCTTCACCAATAACAAAATTGTTAGTTGATAAGGCATTTTCCTCAAAATTATCAGACCGTTTAACTGGAGAGTTGGCCATAGAGGCCTTCCTAGCCCTATTTAGGACTAATACCATATTTTTGGCCGATGTTGATCCCTCCAGAAATCGTGTTTAGCCTTTCATTGTCGCTACTAGATAGTTTAGTTGTATACTTACGGATGAAACAGTAAACTTGTATTAAGATAACTCTTCTTCCCTTGGATGTTCTTAGGCTTATTTACCAATGGTATATTTTCTCTTTGAGAAGGTGCTCTGGTTAGCTCCAAAGATCACATGAGAGCTCCATTCTTCCTCCTTCTTTTTCCATTTCTTAGCATAGCTAATGTATTTTCCGAGTCCAGAAGAATCAGAGACAATTGCTTTAGCTAACAAGAGCCAACCTCTATCAGATAGTTTCTCAAAGTTTGGAGGAGGGCAATCAAAACTCTATATCTTTAGCTTCTAAGCAGATTTATTTTCCTTACTTGTGTTGGGTTGCCGAAGAATTCCTCTCGGTTGAACTTCATCATTTTCTTAACTTCAAATGTGCTAAGAGACCTTTTTTCCATTTTATTTATCAATTAGAATAAATTATCTTGGGGTTTTGGGGTTTTGGGGTTTTGGGGTTTTGGGGTTTTGGGGTTTTGGGG